AGCACGTGATGCAATTAGTTTACAGAAACACCTATACACTTTGGCTAGCTTTTGTATCCAGAATCAGATGAAGGTAAATATAGAGAAGTCCAAAGTCATGATAGTGGGCACTAGATCCAAGTTTTCCTTCAATTACTAGGATCTACAATTAGAAGAGGTGAAGAGTTATAAATATCTAGGCATTGAATTTTCTAATGATTATAGTTGGGCACTTTGTGTGCAAAAGAGAGTAGAAGGTGGTTACAAAGCTCTATATTCATTGCTAAATCGGTGTAGAAGGGCTCATCTTGTGTCTTGGAGTCTTAGGAAATTTTTATTCAGAAGCTTAGTGTTGCCGGTAGTATTGTATGGAATCCAAGTGTGGGGTCATGGTTGTAAGAAGACAGGTTGGGAGCGTGTGGAGAGGGTGCACAAGATATTTCTACAAGAAGAATTGGGTGTGAGAAACCAAACCTCATATGCTATTCTTCTTGCGGAAACAGGTTGTTTACCTCTGGAGGCTGAAGCTTTATACTTGACCATCACTTACATCACAAGGGTAAGATCTCTTGATGATTCTCGCCTTACTCCTCAAGCTTTGAGTGCCACTAGTGCCAAAGGATGGTTAGCGGATGTAATAACTTGGTCTTTGAGGTGGAATGTGACGGAACGCGATTGGAACCTACAACCTATAGCACTACGTGAACGTCTAAAGGAGGAGTTTCTGAACATTATTTGGAGCAAGCGCGGCACCAAGATGCAGTTTTTATCAACTTCATGTGAATCCTATGCTTGTTTATTGTGAACATGATTACCTACTTGCAGGAATCTCTACGTCCTTACGTCATGTTATTGCTAGGCATAGAATTTGATCTCATAGGCTTGGAATTGAGGAAGGACGTTGGCTTAATATTGATAGGAGTGAACGTATTTGTAGGCTATGTGATGGAAGAGAAGTTGAGGATGAAGAGCATGTATTTCTTACTTGTACTAGATATACAGAGATTAGAGTGACTCATAATATAGATGTAGAGAATTTTTATTCTTTGTTACAGTTAGTTCCTTTTGATTTAGGTTGTTATATTAGGTACATTATTAGTTATTGTAAGATTTTGGCACTAGCTAGGGATTGGCCTTTGGGGTCTTTTCCCTTGTTTGTGGCTGTCGCTTGTATTGTGTTTTTCAGCCTTTTGACCCTTTGGGTTCCCCGGGCTTGATCTATTACCATTTACCATTTACCATTGAGTAATGATTTTCATCTGATGATCAAATGCAATTCAAAAAGTAGCATATCTACAAAATGATAAGGATTCAAAATCTAGAGCTACATTCAAACCTAGAATGTGTTTGTTTTAAAAAAATACTATGATATTTCATATAATATTTAAAGAAAAAATGTCCTTAGACAGGCAAGATTATTAGTCCTCTCTTAGTTATTATGATTCAAATTTTTTATTCTAAAAAAATGCAACTTGCTTGATAGTAAATCACAAAATGACTTATCTGTATTATGAAACTGATCAACAAATATAATACATTTATTTAAATCATTTTTTCAATAACATTTATAAAATGCATTATTATTATTATTAAATGATTAAAATTTATATGAACTATGATCAATATTGTCAAATACAAGGTCTTAAATTCTATTGATATACAACTTGATCACAAGTAGTAGAAGATATAATTTTGCTAATAAGATTTGCAATTGAAATAGTATCTAAGCAAGATATTCTTAATCTTTATTGTGATGATCAAAGTGTACAATATCTTGCTACAAATCATGTGAATGATAATAAAATGAATCACATCAGCATCAGATTTCTTTATATCAAGAAAGAAGTTTATTATAAGAAGTTTTAGCCTTAAAAAAATGACAAAGAACTCAATCTAGTTGTTGCATTGATCAAAGTTTTATCTTATATGAAACTTGGTGGCACAATATCTTTTAAAAGATATTGTGCTACCAAGCAGATTTTGCATAAATAGCATAAGTATAGTTTAGAAATAGAAAATTTCTATTTCTATATAATTATGCTTCACATTATTTCATTTACAACTTAACTATATTTAGTTTTAGTATGTATATATATATATATATATATATATATATGTATATAAACTTAGATAGATTTTTTCCTGTCAAGTTTTATAAATAATCTTCAAACATGCATCCAAGACTTAATATAAGACTTAATATTAGATTCTAAGATTTAATATATTTTATTTAATATTATTTTACTTTTGGATTTTTATTATTTCATTTCTGGATTCATAAGAATGATTGCCTTGAATTGTTTAAAATTTGATGAGATCCTTTAATAGTAATCACATTGTTCACTTGTAGACACAAGAAGAAGTGAGTCATGCAATAATTTTTTCGAACTAAGTACATATTTTTTTATGAGTCATTGAACAACCTCAAGAATATTTACAATTTTTTGTTATTTAAAATAAAATTTATACTTAAGTATAAAACAAATTTAAATAATTTATGTTTTTTTTTCATAATTTAAAATTTTATAAATTGCTTCATATAATCTAAATTTCAAACAAATTTATTATTTTTGCATAATTTTTAATCATCATTTTGATATGAATTATCATGATATTTTTGTTCTTTGAAGTAGATTTTGCTTGAATATATATCTTTCATCAAATTAAAATTATATTTATGCTTATTATATTCATCATTTGAGTGAATTATTATAGCTAAAATATAGCTAAAATGTAGCTAATTTTTGAATAAGAATTAAAGGATTTTTTTAATGAATTTGAAGATCAATAAAGTGGATAGATTATTTGCTTGCTTATCAAAAAATGTACTCGTAAGGTATTGTTATCATACTGTTAAAACTTTATAATTTTAAATATTTTTGTTTGATAACCTTAATTTATTTACAATTTTTGATGGAATTATTATTTTTACATATCATGTATCTTGTTAGACTTCAACACATATATATTGTTCATGTGTGGTCGCATTATTTCAAATTCAGCAAGATATTTTATTTTTAGCTAAAATGTAAAAAACAGATATATCACTTGTATTTGAACAAGAGAAGAATTTGGTTAAGGAATTTACTTTCATGATTAGACTAGCATTGGAATTATATAGGGCTAAGGAAGCATGTTTGTGCTAGCACTATATAGTTGATTTAATATTTTCTTAGCATGTTGGTGCTTGCATGTCTATTGAAGTAAGCAATAAATCCTAAACCCTAGAACTCACTTTTTCCAACTGATTGTGGAATTTACCTTAGACAGTGTTTTTATTGCTCTGTGGATATCACTCGTAAATACTACTTCTAACTGGGCAGTCAAATTAGTTCATGTGGCGTTAGATGGTGCTATGATTTGTAGATTGTTTGATTTTGATAATTCAAAATCGTAGATGATGTGAGAAATATAAAGAGTTATTAATTTGATCGTACCCCCTGAAAAACTAAATTGCTTGATGTGACACATCAAGTTTCGTTTTATTCAATGAAAACACTCCTTCGCCAGGTTGTAAAATTTGTTCCTATAAATATATGATGCGAGCTATAGTGTGAGAATTTATAGATTCCAAATGGGTTTCGAAACTCTCTAAATCCGTGAATAAGGAAAGAGTGTCATAAGCGCAGTGAAGCCTAGCCAGCTGAGTGAACGAGCGGGGTCAGATGCCGGCAAAGACTTCATCAGCAAGATCCCCTTCCACAGTTGTCCCAATACTCCGACGCCTCATACTCGTCTAAACAATCCATAGAAATGTTATACTTCAGCTCGAAGTCCAGAATCGGCCCTTGTACTCTGACGGACAACAATCATAATCCTCCCCGAAAAAGTAACCTATCCTGCATCATTTGAATGTCGTTTTCAAAGTAACCCCTTAAATCACAACGAGTTGTTGAGCCAGGAGCAGAACGATTGACAGTCGGCCCGAGCAACCCATCCTGAACTCAATCTGCTTATATCGCTCTCTCTCCCTCTCTAGCACCCGTCAGGCGATAGGACTACTCTAGATAAATAGTTACTGGGGATCACTTCCTAGTGTTTCTGTTATATAGCCAAGGCTTCTCTTTGTTGAGGTTTATGTTATACATGACCAAAGGTGGCTCAACGAAAACCCGCAACTTGAATATCTTGGTTTTTTACGGAGACATGTGGACCTGTGCATAAACTCCCATCTAGCTTGTAGTTGGGAATCCATGCATTGTCCTCGTCCTGGTTTCTGTATGAGGGTTTGAGTCTGTGTATCATGAAGGATTACTTTAACTGAGTTTGAGATTTACTCAAACTCAGAAATCTCCGTTCATTTCTCATGTAACCACGGTGGTGGACCTTTAACGAAAGCTCGATCAAATTGCGATGTGACAAAGGTGATAAGCTCACAATGCTCTATTTCCAAAGTCAAGATGTGCAATCTTTGTGACAGAAACCCATTAGAGAGATGTAGTCCCGTCGGTTGATTTCACATTATTGGAATTGCACCGTAGGTGGGGTCCATAGGGTAAAACGAAACTTGAAGTGTCAGTAATCAATTTAAGTTCTGACGGGGCTCCCATCAGATAAATACCTCGAAAGAAATCTGATCACGATACAATCTAGTTTATATTTTATCTCTCCGCTCAATGTGATCTTTACATTTTCTTTCTATCCATGTGGTCCTTCCTTACAGCTTTTAGCAATTTATATAATCTAAAATATACTTATACATCATTCGATGAGTACTAGAGTTCATGGATGCTTAATGGCAAGTTGTGAATCTAGCTGAATTGTTATGAATGTATGTACACCAAGCGCTACAATGCTTATACATCAAAATAAGTGTTTTTAAGAGAAATATACTGGGTTTTTAAGTTGACTTTTGACTAAACTAATCTGCTAAGGAGCGAAATTAGTTGATGAGAGAAATTAACCTTGTATTCTCAAGTTCAATTGTTAACTCAATTGTCTCTGAGATGAAAGTATTTCGTTATTGTGTTCTCCATCTGGTCTTCTACCTACTTCCGTAGAAGATAATGGAAAGCATACACTATAGGGGCGCTCTTCTCAGTCATTTCGTGATTGGGGGAAGGCTCACAATCCTTTGTTGGTTGGACCAAAGGTTGTTAGAAAAGTGTATGAGATGTAATAAGTGTAATAGTAAGCACAGATTTGCTCTATCTGGTGCACGCGATTTCTAGTATGTAGACACTCCTTGCAATAGACCAAGAAGTGATGCCAGGCTAGTTTTCGACTTAAGTCGATAAACATTGAAGTCTGCCATTCCCGACCAACCTCCTTGGGTTTACGTCAGAGGTGTTTTATTCTTTAGCTTCAACCGGAACTACATCAGATGCTACTACCACCAGATAGCGTAACTGCATCAGCTGGACTACCACCAGAAAGGGGTTTCACAAGAAGTCCTACTGCATTAATTAGTTACACGCCTTCAATAGTCATCACGTCACTCCCTACCGTCATAAACTTCCTTTCCCAAAATGTAGGCTTGAAGAACGAAACCTTGGCTTGAGGAGGTAAAACTGAAGTCCGGCTACTGGATTGAATTTTCTATCAAGAGAAGCATAGTCACCCGGGTAATGATACTCACGTATACTGGAATCTCTTATATTCTCATCTCGATTGAGAGCTTTCTGTGCGCAAATATCTGAAAAAACTTGTGGACCTGCCTGCCTCAATGCTAGGTTACAATAGCCAAATGTAATGACGACGGGTGGGACTATTCCCCGACAATAGTGGCTCTGTAATTACGACACTCTGTCCCGAGCAGCCACACACTGACCTGATAGACAGAAAAAGGTGTGAATGCCCGCCTCACTTTTCCCGACTCTGCAAGCACCAACGATATCATGCTACAAAGAACCTACTCCATGTTTTAACCAATGTATCAGCCTTCATCTCGCCTAAGCTCCATACGCAGGGCACATTCGAACTGTCCTGGAAAAGGATGCTTCAACTGTACTACTCCAGCAGTAATGGGCCCTTCTAATCCGCAGCATTACACTGCTGATTGGGCACCCTCCATACTTCCTGTAATATGAATGACGGTCGAGTAACACCATGCATATCCCAGATGATACGATAGGTGCTTGATGCTCCGATCAACTCTTGAACTTCTGTGCTAGTTTTTGAGCTTCTCCCCGGCATCCATCAGCAATCTTCTTTGTATTTTCAGATATGGACGTACTTAAACCGCCGAATGTGTTCTTTGTCGCTTCTTGCATGTCCTGTGCGGTTTTAGAGACGACAGCGACAGTCTCTTGCTGTACTGCATGTACTTTCGTCCTCACACCCCGAAGTGACTCAGCTGTCTCTCGCTGGGCACTCGAAAAAGCCCGGCCAATTGCTTCTAACAACTGGAAAAACCTCTCAAGGACTCTAGACTTCAGATCACCAGCCCTTGCCAGAAAATCCTGAACGGGTGCTCGTTGCAAAAATTTGTTCAGCGAGGACTTAGGACCACTGTACTGCCAAGGCAAAGCCGGAATATTTTCCTCATCAAGTTCTTTATCTACATGTACCTGAATTCCTTGGCCCTCCCAGCGTTTTCTAGCCTCCTCTAGTACTTTGGCGTGTGCTCTAGCTGCTTTCGCTTCCTCTTCCGCCCACGCTCTGTCGGATCATTGACTGATGTGTGAGAATGTGTATTGAATCTGATTGTGTAAGCCCAAAGGTAGCTATTGACAAGCTAACCACACTCGCTTCAAGTACACTTCGACACAAAAGCAGCTTAAATACCAAAATGTCCACGGAAAGATCGAGATCCTATTGATGATTTCACCCTACGTGCTGGTGAAATCATCACTACTTGACATTCCAACAATGACTCTACCACTAAGATGCACAAAACTGTTCCAATAATACTGAGCTAATTTCACAAGCAATAAAGCACATGCAACCGACTCCTTACCTGGCTAATGTAAGAGCTTTCTTCTCGACCTCTACTTCGGTTTTTAGCTCATGGAGTGTTCTCTCCTCCTCCTCTGCCTCTCTCCGGAGATTTTCGAACCTGTCTTTCTCGATTCCAACTTCCACTCGGTATGCGGTTAAAGTCTGGAGCTGCTCTTCTGCATCTTCTCGGAACTTCATAAGCAACGCCCTTTCAGCTTCCATTGCATTCTTCATTTTCTCAAGTGCCTTATGCTCATCTTCTCTCTCTTGCATCATTTTCTCCAACTCATCTCTCACTTCCTCTAACTGTCTAATAGCGGATAATCTCGTTTCCTTTTCTAACTTCAATTCTGTGTTGAAATATTCCTCAACCTGCTTTTGTGCTCGAGCCTCTAGCGCGAACTCTGCAACTACAGCAGCCTCGGCCATTTGTTCCGCTTCCAACCTCGTTATTTCTTCTGCCACCGCATCTGCTGCTTCTCCGGTCACCAGCGCAATAGCAGCCTGGCCCCTAGTGACGGGTTTATCTGGTTGAAATCTTCGAGTAAAACCTGAAAGACAAACATACCCAGGCAGAATCAGGTTAGCATGTCATGAGAAAAACATATATGTAATAGGCACAGAATGAAATAATATCAAGAAATGGATGATATCCAGGGAAAGTTGAAGATGAGAGCATTGATATACCAAATGCAGTGGCTGCAATGCTTCTTTCTCCGGCAGCTAAGTCTGCTGCTAGGAAAGGCAACGCATCTTCGCTGATTCGCTCGATGTCGATGAAACCTGATTGGGCCTTGAGTATCTGCAAAAACTACGAGTCATGAGTTTAGCCTGAACTAACCATTCAAAGCATCCTCCTTAAGGGATTCTTGCGTGAAGAATTAAAAATTGATGCGCTCCCATTCCCCCGGTACAAAGCCAGACCAAAAAGAACTGTCCAAAACTGCATGACCTCTGAAATATCAAACACAAACTCACGGCCACAGTACCTGCTTATCAATGGATCCGAGGTTGTTTTTCTCAAGAGCCAGCTTCCAGCTGACCAGATCTTGTCTTGAAACTGGACTGCAGTGTAGCAGAGAGGATGTCAACAATCACGGATTCGGATCTGAATGGATAAAAACATGACTACTTTTCAAAGAAGCTGAACCTGAAAGACCGACCTGTCAGGGAGAAAAACAGCACCGTCAGTTGAACGGGTTTCCTCGTTGCCATCATGTCGGGAAAGATTGCTGGATATAAGACCTGCTTCAGCTAGACCTGATAATCGCCACGATTATGACAAGAGGATGACATGGAAACACGTCAGTGCAAGTCTCTTACTTGGAGAACTTACTGGAGAACATACAAACCATAAGAGCTCATGTCTAACATATAATTTGCAGCACGGAGAATATTCATTTTTTTCTAGTAAAGGAGGCCAACGCTGAAAAGAAAAACAAAAAATTTGAGGTTACTTAAATATAAGCTGATGCCTTCGCAAAAATACTCGATCAAAAGGCTCTTAACTTACCCTGAATAAATGGGAAATCGGGATCGTCCGGTGACACATCGTTGAATGCCAGCTCCGACGAATTCTCTATGTACATGGCCGGAAAAACTTTGTGTGCTGGACTCCTGCAGTGGCCACACAATATCACGAACTTAGATGAAGATGATACACCTACAGCATGTTTCGCAATCAACTTGTAGGATTGAAAGCACACTGCAGCACATAAACTGCCTTCTTAAAGAAACAAGCTCAGGCACCCATCGAAAGTTTCATGGCAGACCTGGCGAGGGTACTCGTACTTGCTATAAGCCATCGGGCATATTCCCTTCTTGTACACAATCCTCCTACCTCCACACCTTGTTCGATCACCTGCAGTGGCAGATAAAAATTCTACAGATATGAGACATTTAAGTTTATGTCCTCCAGGTCGGTTTTTTTTTAAACATTATAAAAATCAATATCTACGTCTACATGAAACTAGATCATGATTTGTCACAAAGATTGTTCACCTCGTTCTGTATATATAACTGCTACGCAACAGTGAAGAGTTGCAGTAAAGAGGAGGCAAAAACCACCAATTGAAATGTAGAATCTCCCTAACAGCAAGATGCTGTACAAGGTGCAAGAGAATGACCAACCTTCAGGGCCTGAAGAGCTGCCAAAGCTTGTTCTTGCTCATGGTCAACAGTCGCAGGCACAACTATGCTCCCTGGAGTCGCTTGCGCCGCTGCCGATGGAGTCGATGGAGCAGGTATGCCAACAGATTGCGAGTGCGAATATTCAGAGGCCAGAGATGGCGACAGGGTTTCAATTAAATAAGGGCTTCTACTCACATGACCAGGCTCAAGAGCAGTCTGGTCCACCCCATCCTCTTTGGACGACAATTCTAGCCCCAGGAATTCAAGCACATCTTCTGTTACCCCTTTGGGGACAAGCAAGGTGGCAGATACAGTAAAGGCAGCTTCGTCAGAAGACTGGGCAAAAGCTTCCACTTCCTTTACAGACTCAGGCAAGGCTTCACGTGGAGAGTCAATGGCAGAGTCAGAGTTCTCTGGCTCCGATAGAAACTCATTTATACCGGCAAATCCTCCCGCGGGTGAGCCAGGCTGTTCATTTTCTTCATCAATCAAGTTGATTTCTGGAGTGGATTCGCTACGAGACTCGTGAACATCAGTTATATCAAAAGAAAGTTCAGCCTCAGCTGGACTATGGACAGGAGACTCATGAACATTAGTTGTATCCTGAAATGGTTCAGCCAAATCCAAGGCTGGACTAGGGGCAGCGCTTCGAACATCACTAGAATTATCATCCCTTATTTCGACTTCTTTGTCACCAGAAGCAGCGTTCTGAACATCCTCAGTCTCCTCCAGGACAGTTGAAGTGGCTTTCCTATCCACCTCAGCATCAATGAACTTATCAGACTCTAGGTCTGAAACAGGAATAGGTTCGGTAGACAAAACATCCTCCTCATCATTCAATAGTGTCCCCTCCTCACTTGGAAAAGAATCCTGACCTGGAGAAGTCTTCTTCTGGTGCAGGTCAGACTCACTGTCTACGACAGGTTGTGGATTTTCTCCCTGGACTTCCGTCATGCTTTCATCTGATGAAGGCGGACTAGACGTGGTAAATTTCGAGGCTTTGTCAACATCCTCAGAATCATTACTGGTTGTTGAGGATAGTTGTGTCTTTTGCTCTTGGTGGGTGGTTACAGAATAGACGACCGCGTGCTTATTTCCTGTCAAAAAATTTCCATAGAATTGGTCAACAACAGACAGCAGTTTCCATTCCAAAGCGAAACCAAGTATCTCTTCAAGGCCTAACACTTCAACGAGAATCTAACAGAGCTACAAGAGCAGTTTACCTTTTCTAGCATAGGCAGTGTACGTTACCACAGCAAATCCGACAGCCAATAAAAGGCCAGCCCCAATCTGTAACAGTCCTGAAAAGCATATAACATAAGGAGATCAAGTATCAGTGATCACCCGTCGGCATTAAGCTAAAGTTGTGAAATTAGCAGTTGTCATCATCATCCGTGCAGCGAGTGCTGACAGACAGTATTCGACTTGAAACACGGGGAACAGATACTTCAAGCTTTAAAAATTTCGAAACTACAACCCGCGATAGAAAGTATCAATACTTAGAAGTGATATGAAACAGAAACCAACTCATGGACACGATAGGAAGCTACCACTGCCACTGAGACAGATCAGAAGCTTGAATAGATCTAACCTGTCAGTCTGTTGCTTTTGTTCTCATTATCAAGAGGTGTCCATCCGGCGTAATCCTCCCCATTTACACTTTCCACTCGCACCACAATTTGAGCCTGTTTGGGCTTTGAAGTCTTATCAGGAACACCAACTTGATCCGAACTTTCACCGGCATCCGCAGTGCTGCAACGAATGGCGCGGAGAGTTTTGCATCGCCAATTGGAGAGGCGAGTAGAGCGGGGAAAGACCACTCCTTCACCAAGAGGATACCGACGGGATACTGCTAGAGGCACTTGAATCCGCAGCGCTAACGCCATTTCAGAACTCACAGCTCATGCACCGAGAAGTTCACACCTCACCAAGATGCTCACGTCGACCTGCAGAAGATCAAGAAGTCATGCACAGGGTTCGGCGATCCGGATTTAGACAAATTGCTCTCCAACTTCTTTCTCCTTCTGCTCTTCTCTCATTCAAGCTTTTCGCCCACAAACCTCACTTAGAGCTTTCCGTGGTCAACTCGTACCCATATCCCAGAATTCCAAACGAGCATTCCAGGGATACGATTTGCTTCTCCTCCGTGCCAAGCACCATGATACAAACTCATCGAACGCTGTAAGACAGCCCCAAAAGATAGACAGTCACAGAGCAATCACTGCCGCAGCCATCAAGCTGTTAGACGAGGCGATCGACGTACAAGACAATATTGGCGCTGCTTCGGACAAAACTCCATACAAAAGTTCCTCCCCCGTCTCCCTATCTCAGGAAAGTGCCCCCGAAGGATGAGACCGACACGCACACCAAAGGCGCGGCTACAAGGCTCCGAGAAATGACGGACAACTCAGCGTCCAAACCCTCGCCAAATGTACATATGTAATTTTTCCTCTTCCAATATTCCCCCCATCTCCGTCCCAAGGCAAAAATCTCCGCTCTGCGGTAGTGAGGTGATATGCGGAAGAAGGCGCCAGAGATGAGAGGATGTTGCTGCTATAAGGTTGGAAGGAAAATGCTAGGCCAGGCAAGCCCCGGTCGGACTGCTGCTTTATGAGTTGCAATGATGCAATCGGATCGGGAAAATCAAGAGGACATCCTCGGGCGAAGAGACACAGAAAAGCAGCACTATTGTACTCTCATATACATACACTACAGCTCAACAGGCTTCATCTTCTGCCTGCCTAGCGCCGGAGAAGTTCTTCAACTTGCCGCATAAGTCTCGCATTTCCCTGTAGGAGGAAAGAACGCATTATTGGGAGGAGTGAGCATGGATGGTAGTGACGCCGGTGAAACACGCGCCGACGATGTGGCCAGGACTACGGAATGCAGAAGCCCTAAAGAAAGGCCGGAGTTCAATGCAGTGGAGAGGAGCGTGGCGGACCAGGTGGCCCTCTTAGGAGAACAACACGTAGATAGATCCTTCAGGTCTCATAGTCCACGTGTCTTTTTCGAAACATCGACATCCTGGTACAGTAGTTCTCCGTTGTGTTGCTGGTTATGCCGTTCAGGCAGGTAATGAACTTTGGGTTCCGTAAAGCATCTTCCTGGCAGAAAAACCCAACTGTTTGTAGGGAGACAGGCGTATCCCTGCCAGAGCCTGTATTCTTTCGTTTCGTTTTGGTTTTAGCGTGACAAGATTGCTCTGGGAATTATTTTGGAGAAGCATTAATTTTGGCTATTGGCATATTCTTGCTTGGGTTTTTCAAAACTTAGATCCACGATTGAAGCAATAAATCAAAAAAAAAATGCCGTCACTGCTTTCCACAACTTACTGGGTGAACCAATATATTAAGTTTAATTTTTTAATTAAGTTTATGAAAGTCACTCTTATGTTTGATATTTTTTGTGTACATTCGCTCAAACGTTGGTATGTTCTCATATCTAATAAGGTAATAGGTAAGCTTCACATAATCATGTCAAAATTTGATAATTAAGAACTCATAGATCAAAATTTGAACAAAATTTATAGAGGTTATAATTTCCTTTTCTTGAAAGTTAATTCAATATAAGAGATACGATTATTAAAAAAATAAGGGTTTAGGGTTTAGTAACTAAATGAATATTTACACTTTTTCTCTGATATAAAAACCATTCTCAGTGTAACGATTACTTGAATATACTCTGATGCTATAAGCAAAGATTTTCCTTGAAAACATACGATATTCACCTTCAATAGCATCAAACTATGGAAAGGATAATAAAATTTCAAAATACTTTGTAAGAGTGTCAAATTTCAATTTCTTCTCGCAAAGAGGAATATCTTTAATTAATGATACGTGGCGCAAATTTAATAAAATAATAAAATTCAGTTTGTAGTTTTTGACGATAAAAATGAGGAATAATTTGGATTGCAGATACGTTTCAGTAGGCTGTATATAGTCAATAGAATATAATAGAACTAGATACATAAAGAAAATCAACATGTCAATGTCTCTGTAAAATACCAACAGTGACCTGATACTTACTCCTCTGCTAGTTATGCCCTAATTCGGATCATATTCAAACTTCTGGTGATTGAATACTCGTTCTGAACTTGTTTAAAGAGTTTTTCTTGACGCTGGAAATGATGTCATACAGTTGATACTCGCTTCAAAATGTATCAAAATTAATGAAATAATTTTCCCAACAGCACATAGTATATTTTATAAGATATTAATCACTTTCTTACCTCTCTTCATAGATGTGATTTTCACATGCTTCTAACTTTTGAAAAATTCAAATCTATATTGCTCTATAAAAGAAACATTCAAACGCGTTTTCTTATATAACTCTCATTTTATTTTGAAATCTGACGGAAAAAAATTGAACGAATGATGCTTAAAATTCCAAATGGACAGAGTATGGCTTATGGCAAAATTACTCAAAATCTTAATACATAATCTTCACAAATTTACAATAGACTTCAATATGTTTCACGATACCACACCAGCGCGACTTGTAATCCCAACAAAAAATAATCAGAATTATCAGGGTCTCAACCTACATATTTATTACTATGTACATCAAGGATCATGATTATCAAGTTGGGATATAAATTTGAAATATTCTGAGATGATTTATGGTGAGATTCTATAACAATATATTGAGTAACTTGCTGACTGTGTGCTATGTCATGATGTCTTGTAACCCGCTTGGTTTACAGAAATCATCTTTAAATATTATTAGAACATTTGCAACCAACAGCCACATCCAGATCTCTCTTACTTTCCTTCCATCACCACTTGCAACTATTTGCTCTGTAGAATACAAAGATAACAGCACAATAGGGTTTGAATCACCATCTCCTATCGACCATTCTTTCTGAGAAGATCTTTTTCTCTCTTGGATCTTCATACCTTCTAAGTGGTCACGGTGATTATGAATTTCAGTTTGAGAAGGACGTCGTTTCCATTTCAAGTTACTTAAGATTGTAGTAAAACATTAGCCTTCACACATTCCTGGATTAGACTTCTTTGTAACCATACTCCCGGCAATTCTGACAAGCACGGGGACCTGGATTGTCTATTTGACTGGGAAGTCTTTTCATTTACCATTGCCAAGTGGGTTGTTGATAGCTGCCGATCAAAGTTTATGACAAAAAGCCTGGTGGAAAGAATCCCCTCAAAAGATAAACAACTGCAGCTAGACTGTGATTTAAAACTGAGTTGATCATTCAGTTCTCATGTACTCTTATCTTGGAGATGAAAACGTCCGGCAGTTCAAAACGTCTTCTGGGTGAATAGTCTTGGCTAAACAATAATACTCAGAGTTCTTCGTTAACTCGCACGATTAGTTCCCGTGAGAATTAAGAGCAAAGACCGCCAATCCGGCATTCTTTACTGATTATATTGTGTGCTTACGTACAACGTCCAACAACGTCCATCAAAATGTTCGCTTTTCCGCCTTCAGAGTGGATGCTTATTAGTAAGTGGAGCTAAAAGTAAGTAAAATTTTCCGTCGCTCACAATTCTGATGTGCTGTAACAACTGAAAGAGAAGGCTAGAATGAGATCGTGCATGGAATAGTTCTCATAATTATTACTTGTTGTAACTTTGAAGTGAGTTACGCAAGGATGATCAAAGCAGTAAGTACTCGGTTCTATGTCACCGTCCACAAATCTTTGGATTATCAAGACGGATATAGGTGCTTGTGGAAGATGTGATTTCGCACCAACAAATAAAAAAGACAGTATCTTAGCCCTGCTACTGACAAATTAACTTCAGGCTTCTTCACACGGCAATCAGGACATTCAACAAGGAGGCACGAAGCGGTCAACCTGATTCCAACAGAAAAACTTCTCATTACCTACAAACAATTCCAACATAAACGCTGGCAATTTGTCAAGACAGCGGAGCAACAAAATCCACACAGCTGCAAGGACCTTCAAAAGTAGGTGACCTCGATGTGGTGCAAGCATGACATTGTCCCACATATGGTCGCCGTTTGCTTGGAGTGGTTATCTTCATCATCCTCAGTAAGATCTTTCCGTGTACATAGCATCCGCGACCTCATACCGATGAAAAATATTACTCAACAGATTCCGCTTGATGAAAAGTGATGGAATCTAAGGCTTACTAATTATCCAGATTCTGATGGAGTGGCTCCAGTATTCCCCGTGGAGAAAATCCTGCACAGGACGGGTCGCTCTTCGGAATTTCCAAGACAAATGGGTGCCCTTGGATGTCGGTATACAGCAAACTCAATCAGAAACTCCAGCCGGCATCCAAAGCAGTTTGGACGACAACGGCTCCTCTGCCCCAGACTGATGGGGATCAGCTGCTCGAAAGCTTAGCACGAAATATCCTCAATTTGAATGGTTACATGTTTGAACCTCTGGTTCAGTGCACAATATTTGGTGGCATTGCTCAGGATGTCCTTGGCTTCAGCTCCTCCTCCTGCTGGCTTTATGTGCAGATGGCAAGTGAGAACATTAGTACCGGTGGTGAGAGCCCACACATGCAGCTGTTTTACGTCATCTACTCCAGGGATACTCTTCAATCCGCTTCTCAGAGCATCCAAATCCACGTCTTGGGGCGTGCTCTCCATCAATATCGACAGCACGTCTTTGACCATTCTGAAAGTGGTTGACATAACAACGATAGAGAATAAACAAGAGCAAAGGAGGTCAATAAGCTGCCATTCAGGTTTGATCCAGATAACAATTCCTGTAATCAGCACTCCTATGCTCTGAATAAGGTCCCCTAGTGCGTGGAGGTATGCGCCTCTGAGATTAATGTTATGACTATCATAGTTTCTGAGATGCGCTTTCGTTGAGCAGCAAACATGGACCTCCTTTGGAAAATGCTCATCCTCATCAGATGGAGAGATACTACTACTCATCAGACTTACAGATTCCTCCTCAGCTTCAGCGACCAGAGGTTTCTCCTCTTCGTCACAATGGTTCACTCTCATCATTGTGGGCTTGTCCCTTTCATGATTATGGTGGCAACCACCAGCACAGCTTATTTGCATCTGCTCCTCTTCATGGTAGACATGCTTCTGCTCTTGGCTAAGGCATTGTCCATCTTCAACATCAACCTTCTTGTGTTCGTGGTGGTGGAAACTAAGACGAGAATACCCGTCACAAGCACCAGAATCTGACCCACTGTGTTCATGACCATGACCCAGCACAAAAATCATGACAAGGTTCACAGCAACCCCAAATGTGGCAACCAAGCACATCAGGCGCCCATCCACAAGAAGCGAACCAAGGAAAAGCCTCTGAAACGCTTCATAGACAATGAACCCTGTCATGATCCAGATACTTTGGACCGAGACAAGGGCCCCAAGAACTTCCAAGCGAAGGAAACCATACGAGTGTTGCGGAGTGTCTGACCATTCTGAAGCTCGCAGTGCCAAAAGAGAAATGGCAAAGCCTGCAACATCAGAGAGTAAATGGGCAGCGTCTGATAGAATTGCCAGACTTCCCGCCAGACTTCCTCCGACGATTTCTAGAAGCATAAAAAAGAAGCAAACCACCAAAGCTCTTTGCAGCCTCTTGCTAGCTGATGCCCGCCCCAGGTCCTGGTCACCCGCATTCACAAGAACATCTGACAGTTTCCTGGATCCTCCACTTCCACAAAAACTCGACTGTGAATTAAGCTTATTCTCGCACACATTATCTCCTTGAGCTTCTACCTCTACCTGCATTATGCTAAAATTGTTCAAAGTCGGTGGTAGTCCTAGGTCGCTACTCGGCGGACACATGACGATAATTGTGAAGTGCCTCTCTTAATTTCTACCCTGCATTGCGCCGATTTAAAATTATGGATCAGTGAACAGTTACTGCAAGCAAAACAGAGGTCCGAGTGAAATACTTCCAGAAAATACGAATATTTAGGTGTCAAGACTGTCGACAATCTTCAATTACCCTGTACTAGACTGTCACTAGACCTTAACACACTAAAAACTGAACCAAATTAAAAAAAGAGCTGGAAAGCAGGGACGTCGTTGCAATAGATTGAAGGATTGAAGGAGCATAGAATCGTAGATGGGGAAAAGAGGTCTGCCAAGCAAGGCACAGACAGACCCATCACAGAGGGCTCGAAGAGCAAGGCGCAGAACTCCTCATGTTCGCAACTTGTTTCCAAGAACTAAGAACAGTGTGACAGGGGGTAAGGCAAGGCTGACGTTCGACAGAAATGAGTGGAATATAGAAGTGGATCGGAAACTCAAGGGTTGGTGCACTAAGTAGACTCAAGACCTCTTCAATCAATCCAATAAAGTGCTGGCAGGGTCGGACACAATCATGTAAATATTACCAAAAACGAGATTTCACCTGAAGATTCAAGGTTGTTATCAAAGTAGATGATCAATAATCCTCTACCGCAACGTGCTCCCTCAAAGCTCTTGGACTTGAGTTTGCTCCATTGGCAAGGACTGAACTGATGCACTCCACAAGATTGTTTGAAATCCCGGGTAATTTCTTCGACTCCGCAGAGAAGCAGTCCTGGGCAGCTGGCTACGCGCGGATAGGCGCCAAATAATAGACATCGATTATTCACTCAGGAAGAAGGAGCAGTTAGGACTCGTACTCATCCATTGAGACTTCACACTGGAGGCCAAAACATCAAGCAGCTCACCACTTGTGATTCTGCACAGGTACAAATGACCCCAGATAGGAACTAGCTCTGGAGCCGACAGGCTTTTACAAACCGGTGTCTTTGCAGATAAGTAGTCCCTGTGAAGGATTTTTTCTCTTTTTTCTTGGGGCCTCGTCAGTATTCCATGGCTCTGGAGCAGAACAAGATTGAGCACAGATGTCTAGCAATAATCTCCGAGAATTTTGCACTCTGGTCAGGGTCTGGTCGAAGAGCACCAAACGGTTCAGCAGATCGTTTCAGAGGATTTGCGGATACTTCATTATAACGATTCGTCTCCCTACCGATCTCAGAATTCCAAGTTCACTACGGTCACTCTTCTCGTGACAAACTTGTTAGTTAGACAAGAACAGGATAGTATGGGTAAATCTAATTCCCTCCTCTTGGTACCCAGACAGCATGATTACAATCAGACCACCTCGCTGACTGCGCAGCACTCGTGATCTGGACTCTCTACTTGTCTCTGCCGCTGCTAGGGAGCTATTCAGCACCGCAACCGGAACATGTCGAGAACAAACTTTCGTACCAATCATAATGTCACCAACTGTGCGGAAGAACAATCCATTACGACATTCCCTTGGAGCCCAACTAATCTGTCATAAATACTGACCTGTATTAACGCAAATTACCGAGACAGGAGCCTAAACTGAAACCTATTTCCGTGCTCCAAAGCCTACATCACAGTCCTGTTGTAGAAGAGATCAACCTCAGTATGAGTGTCCAAGTTGTCCAAGGACCTTGTCCAAACTTCTAATTGTGATTATCCGTGTAGATGAGATTCTCACGTAGACCATAATTCCTATCTAGATGAAGGCAGGCACTTTGCAACAAGGTTTCCAGACGATAAAGGCCGGCCACAAACAGGGAGGGAGACAAATTTCAACCATATGTGTCTCCGCAACAACAGAAATTATTCAACAGCCAAACCTCTGCCTGCCTGCCTGCAAACCCAACTGTTCCATGGTACTGTAACTGAGCCATGGTGCACCGAGAAATTCTACAATCCGCGTGTTGTCCTTTCAGCGTTGAGAGTTCCCGAAAAGTCTGCATTTTCTCGGCCACGGTATAAGCAACGGATTGTACTATATTGTACTTGCAAATTGATTAAAATGCTGTACAAAAGTTGTATTTACAGGAAACGCCAAAAGTTAAACAGCTGCTTTGGCATAATCACGAAATTTGCTTCAGAAGTGGCCTGCTTATGTCCAAGTAAGAACATGATTCGTGTTGTTAATGAGAATATACAGAGGTTAGTTCAGAATGCCTCCAGACTTCCTGCCATGGGCTAATCTGAAAAGCACGTGATGGATGTCACGTTCCTTTCGTTAGTATCCATCGGCTACACCTCAGATCAAGTCGACACAGCGAACAAATGCCGCTGACCCGAAATTGCAATGTCGACATAGTCAATATTTACGTTTTGGAGAATCTGACAGTACAAGGTGACATGTGTCTCATCTTGTAAAAATAAAGGTTCTTCACTTCTCAGCTTTGTTTTTGCAACCTTCATAATATAATGTAGGTCAGTCCAATGAGGGTGGTTTGGTTAGAGGGTAATTTCAGGGCGTTTGTTGGCGTAGCTGCTACTAAGCAGCAGTGTGCTAAACACTACACGTTTTCTTAATCAAAGTCTTGGTAGTCAACTAAACTCTAGTTGGAAATCGCTGAGGTACTTCAATTTCTTGCTCCCACTATTTTAACGGGAGGAAGGGTATTCTTCAAAGCCTTTTGCCTTCATAGATAGGATTCGTTTCTTGGTAAGCCGAGGATTTTGAGCTTGGCCGTGCATGAATTGGAGTGAGAAATTTCTTATCTAAAATATGCCATACTCAGAGAGAGCAGTGGTTCAAGTAGATAGGAAAAAAGTTGGGAATGTATCATCAAATCCTATTCTAACAACCAAAATCAAAATCAAATCAATTTTGACATTTGTTACAGAGAGATTAGATAAACTGCCGTTAATTAGGTTGCAATTTGTGATCTTATCCATCTTTAATCACTCTGCACAATTTCGGTCCCGAGACCGTGACAAAATTGGAAACCTAAAGGTACTCTTTGCAAACATATAAACACGTATATCTACTTTCATATATAAAGATCGACATATGAGTTGACAAAAAGATCTCAATGGTTTCGTCTTCAAATTACAATATGCGTAAAAGCTTCTTGGCAAGAAGTACTCCTCCCAACTGTAATTTCACCGGGTTATCTTTTCAGGAAAAAAGTCCAATGAAGATAGTGAAATCAGAGAAAACTAACTTACTTGAGCTTCGTTCTACACTTGACATTCTCTTGTACTCTTACAATTGTAAACTTAACTTCTTAGATATTTTACAAATAGTTTACCTACAAATTTTTTTGACACCAACAATAAACCAGATAAAAAAATCTGCAGTCTACAGCCGTTACATTGAATCTTTGCGTCTAAGTTTGCAAAACGTTGCAACTCTAAATTTGTTCAAAGCAATCTTCTTCATTAGCAAAATCATTGTAATCTGCAAGTTTTGAATTTTTATCAGGATTGTTATCAATGTTTTCATAGATTGCTTCATATTTGCTTGATAATCTTGACCATAATTTCTTCCATCTTTCTATGTTTTCATGTGATATCTCTTGGATAGTTTATGACATCTTTCATTTAGGCTGATTTGTTTTCTTCTTCTATATGAATTTTTTTTTGAAATTCAACATCTAGAATTTAATAAAACTTATTTTTATTACTTTACATAGTTCATTACAAAATATAAATGAACCCAAAAAAACACACGCATGCATCCATATCGCCTAGCCAAGACATAGGTGATTTGTCTTTCTCAAAATACGTTGCAAAGAACAACAAGGTTTATAATAAAACCTACAATGTGTTTAATGCGAGTTGAGATTTGTTTTCTAAAATATACATGGTGGCAAAAATCCTAATTTTAATCTAATTATGATTAAGTCTAGATTCTATCATAACTCAAGTCATATTCACTAAGTTTAATCCAAGATTTAAATCATTACTTCAATCTTGTGAGAGTAGTTTTAATTGCAAACCTAACATAGGATTTTCTCTATACAAAAGTTAAATATAAACAAAACGTAATCAAAACATAAGACAGTAATTATATGAATCTGTTTTCAATCTTGACTAGCTTAATACGTTTATCAAAAATTGCTTTTATGAGAAAAGTATATTTGATGTCAATATGATTCTAATTGTTATAAATCATTTGATTTGTAACAAGATGTAATGCACTCACATCATCACATTAAAAAATTACAATTTTCTATTTCAATCCCAACTCAATGATAAACCTATTTAACCAAATAGCTTTCTTTGCTACTTTTGCTTCCTTAATATATTTGGTTTTCATTATAAACTAAGTAATGCATTTTGCAAAGCAAATTGTAACTAAGTCATCAATCATCAAGTTAAAATATACATCATGTTATGAATATTTTTTTGTCTAGATTTTGTTCATAATTCCAGCATCAATGTTGTCTAGCAAAAATTTAGCATGGTCTAACAATTCATCAAACAATGATCAATATTCCTAAGTTATCTTTAGATATCTCAAAATAAATTTCATTACTTTCCAATATAATTAGCCTGAATTTTACAAGTACAAGTTCACTTTAACTATAATTAAAATAATATTAGACCTTGTGTATAGCATCAAATAAATGACATTGTTTATAGTTTTTTCAAAGCAAATCGATGAAATCTTATTTTTTTCAGTATCATTGATTGTAACTAACATTGTGTAAAGTTTGAAGTGTGTTGTCAAAAAAAAATATACTTTTTAAAAATCTATCATGCTAAATGTGTTAACCACACATTGAATGTCCTTGTCTTAACTCAATCATTGACTTTTTTTTTGCAAACTACTTTGAAAGTTTATACTTTATTTTAATATCATTTTATACTTAATCAAATTTGTGGAGTACGGCTGTAGAAGCATGCATATTTATTGGCTTTGCCCTGCCCTTCCGGAAAAGTGAAAATGGATATTTTGCCTTCTTTCTTCACAACTACTAGGAGAGCTTTGTAGGGTTTACCTCTTCCTGATGGATTAAACATAAATCTTTGCTTGATCTTGCATCTTTCAATGTCAGATTGAGTTTTGTCAAAATGAGTATGTTATCTACATAAATTATTATATTTATAATATTGAAGATGTTATTATTCACAAATTTTTATGTATACACATCAATCATACACATTTTCTGCAAATTTTTTTTATCCTAAGAGATTAGATGATATCTCAGATGTCTACTTTTGATGCCTCATATGACTTGATCTTTAATATACCTTAGATGGTTTTTTTATAGGTCATTATAATTTTATAAGACAATATATCATCTACATGTTCATGTTTCAAATATACCTTTATATAAACTTTTCACTTATCACTTAAGTTCAACATTCATCAACATTCAAAAATGATTTGTAAATTTAAACCTTTATTGATAGAACAAATCTACACACACGAGTTATTTTTTATTTCTATTTATAATACTTAAAATATTATCATTGCAACATATAGGAATTATTATTTAACTTATTTTTATTAAAATAAATTTTGATAAATATGACTAATTAATCTTTTGTGATAACATGTCATTGGTCTACCTAAACTTTCTATAAATTTATTTGTCCATGTATTAATGTGATATCATGTTGAAAGTAATTTTGAAACTTTTAAAACTTCCAATTCTCATGAAATCAAATTTTAGACTAAGTACATCAAATGAAAAGTTTATTATTTAGTCATATCAATCACAAATAATATAAGTTTTGAAAAAATAGGTTTCTTTTCCATTGAAATCTTGACTTTAATATAAGTTAATATAACATAATTCACTAATAAATTCTAAAAATATTTTATTATATTTCCAAGTATAGATTGATAGATAAGCTTAGTTATAATTAACTAAACTTAGTCATGATTAAAGTAAACAGTATCAACTCTTGAATTGATTTTATTGGTAATTCACACATACAATTATTGATTTAACAGTACAAAAATCTAGAAAAATCTTCATCTTTCAATGATCTAGTTTCATCTAAAGAAAATCCATACTAATAATAAATTTACAAGTTACTAGATTTCATAGCCTATAATTTTTCAAACACTAGCATATTCAAGAAAAATATACTTCTTAGATATAAAATATAGTTTGTTAAATTTTTTTTATGTATGAGATTATAAGGCAAGCAATTAAAAAATTCTACACAACTATAATAAGGCTATATTGTCATGTATTTAACAGTCTATTGAGGAGTTTGAATTCTCAAGCTACTGTCACTCCCAGAAGTACTGCAGGTGTTTGACTCGGAGGTCTCTCAGGGGACACACAATGCAGCGTAAGACACACACCCACACTTGAAACAGTCAATTGCAACAACTCAGAGGTCGATCGCGATCTCGTTTTAGTATTCAGGGGAGAAAATTCCCAAGGAATACACTCAGAGAGTCTGCACGCAACTACCAATTACAAATTTGCTTAAATCCTGACATTAGCCAATCGCTATTCAAAACATTCGAATTGGGTCTGCTACTTTGGATGCGGTATCTTCGACAAACCGAAGTACCTCTCACGCGGTGACCAACACACTCAACTCACAAACGAGCAGAGATTACATAGCTCAAAACTGAGAAAACTAAATTGAGAAAAGATCCCTAAGGCCAACAACTTGGTCTACTTTATTCCTAACTACCAAAACTGTCACCCACTCTTATGCGAGCTCCGAACAGGTCCTACACCTGCGGAGTCGGCAGTTGCCGCTTCCTCTAACTTCCGCTATAAACCTAATCTTCTCAAAATGCCTACTAGCTCTAACTCCAGATTTGCTACTGCGTCTCGCGATCTTGAGAGATACGCTTTGAGCTTCTTGGCTAACCGGCGATGCCTTCGTCCGCTTCGCGCTATCAATTCTACCTCATGATGTTCAATTTTGCGTAACCGAAGTCCGAGGTATGAGGTTTGAGGTCCCTTCGGATGAAGGCCCTTCCGAAGTCCGAAGTACCTCACAGCCAAAGTCCGAAGTACCTCACGGCAGAAGACCAAAGTACCTCACAGCTGAAGTCCAAGGTTATTTCCGGACGAAGGCCCTTCCGCACCTTCGTCTATCCATACCAGCCACTTTCGACACTCATAACTCAGTGATCCCTTA